GTGGATCAGAGATGGAGGGATGGGGATGAAGAGATGAAGAACCTTGGAACAGGGTAGGGGACATAGGGATGGGGGGGTCAGGGACAGGTAGGGGACACAAAGATGGGTCAGAGATGGAGAAACGAGGAGAGATGAGGGACATGGGGACAGGGTAGGGGACACGGGGGTGGATCAGAGATGGAGGGATGGGGATGAAGAGATGAAGAACCTTGGAACAGGGTAGGGGACATAGGGATGGGGGGGTCAGGGACAGGTAGGGGACACAAAGATGGGTCAGAGATGGAGAAACGAGGAGAGATGAGGGACATGGGGACAGGGTAGGGGACACGGGGCAGGTCAGAGATGCAGGAACAGGGGTGAAGGGATGGGGGACATAGGGACGGGGTAGGGGACACAAGGATGGGTCAGAAATGGAGGAACAGGGATGAAGAGATGGGAGATGTGGGGGGGACAGGGTGGAGGACACAGGGATGAGGGGACACAGGGACAGGGAAGGGGACAGAGGGATGGGTCAGAGATGGAGGAACGGGGATGAAGAGATGGGAGATGTGGGGACAAGGTGGGGAACACAGGGACAGGGTAGGGGACATGGGGGTGAATCAGAGATGGAGGAACAGGGATGAAGAGATGGGGGACACGGGGACAGGGGGGGGACACGGGGACAGGTAGGGGACATGAGGATGGTTCAGAGATGGAGGCGTGGGGCTGAAGAAATGGGACTGGTGGGGACAGGGTAGGGGACACATGGACAGGTCAGAGCTGCAGGGATGGGGGTGAAGAGATGGGGGACACTTGGAGGTGGTGGGGACGGGCTGAGGTGCTGTCCCCAGGGCTCCGAGCAGGTGGTGACCCCCCTCTTGTCCCCCCACCCACTCATCTCCCCCTCCCCACCACAGAGCTGATCCAGACGGAGATCCACCACGTCCGCACGCTGAAGATCATGGCCGACATGTTCCGCAAGGCCATGCTGGACGACCTGCAGCTGGACCCGGCCACGGTGCAGAAGATCTTCCCCTGCCTGGACGAGCTGAGCCAGATCCACCAGCGGTTCCTGGCGCAGCTCCTGGAGCGACGCAGGGAGTCCCTGGCCCAGGACAGCAACAAGAACTTCGTCATCAACCGCCTGGGGGACATCCTGGTCAACCAGGTGGGGGACGGCGTGGGGCCACCACAGCCAGTGGGTGATGGGGGGTGTATGTGGGGTTGGGACGGGCTGGCTGATGTCCCTTTTTGGACAGTTTTCGGGTGCCAGCGCGGAGCAGCTGAAGAAGGCCTACTCGGAGTTCTGCAGCAAGCACACCAAAGCCCTCAAGGAGTACAAGGAGCTGCTCGCCCGCGACAAGCGCTTCCAGCAGTTCATCCGGGTGAGCCCCCACCCCCGGGGGGTGACCCCCAGAGACGAGGGTTGGGGTCTACCCGCAGCCTCGAGGCTTCGTGCCCCGCTGGGAGACCCCTCTGCCAACTCCGTGCCTCAGTTTCCCCAACTGTGTGCCTGTCCCTGGTGTTCTTAACGTAGTTATGGGACCTGGGAGTTGGGGGGCTGCTCATGGGGTGCCCTGTGCTCTTCCCCCTCCTCCCCATGCCTCAGTTTCCCCAACTCTGTGGCTCTCCTGATGTTCTTAATGTAGTTATGGGCTCTGGAGGGGGTGGCTGCTTCTCATGGGGTGCCCTGGGGGGCACTGTGCCTCAGTTTCTCCAACTCTGTGGTCTCCGTGATGCCCTAAACGTAGTTATGGGCCCTGGAGGGGATGGTTTCTTCTCATGGGGTACCCTCTTCTTTCCCCCCCTCCATCTGTGGCTCTCCCAGATGCTCTTGACATAGTTATGGGCCCTGGGGGGATGCTTTCTTCTCACGTGGTGCCCTTTTCTTCCCCCTCCCTCTCTCTGTGCCTCAGTTTCCCCAACTCTGTGGCTCTCCCTGATGTTCTTGACGTAGTTATGGGCCCTGGGGGGTGGCCGCTGCTCATGGGGTGCCCTTTTCTTCCCCCTCCCTCCCTCTGTCTCCCAGATGCTCTTGATGTAGTTATGGGCCCTGGGGGGGTGGTTGTTGCTCATGGGGTGCCCCGTGCTTCCCCCCCCTCCCTCTGTGCCTCAGTTTCCCCAACTCTGCGTCTCTCCCTGATGTTCTTAACGTAGTTAGGGGCTCTGGAGGGGGTGGTTGCTTCTCATGGGCCACTGCTCACAGGGTGCCCCGTGCTTCCCCCCCTCCCTCTGTGCCTCAGTTTCCCCAACTCTGCGTCTCTCCCTGATGTTCTTAACGTAGTTAGGGGCTCTGGAGGGGGTGGTTGCTTCTCATGGGGTGCCCTGTGCTTCCCCTCTTCCCTCTGTGCCTCAGTTTCCCCAACTGCGTGGTCTCCATGATGCTCTTAACATAGTTATGGACCCTGGGGGGGTGGCTGCTTCTCATGGGGTGCCCTTTTCATCCCCCGCTCCTCTCCGTGCCTCAGTTTCCCCAACTGTGTGGTCTCCATGATGCCCTGAACATAGTTATGGGCCCTGGAGGGGATGGCTTCTTCTCACGTGGTGCCCTTTTCTTCCCCCTCCCTCTCTCTGTGCCTCAGTTTCCCAAACTCTGTGGCTCTCCCAGATGCTCTTGATGTAGTTATGGGCCCTGGGGGGGTGGTTGTTGCTCATGGGGTGCCCCGTGCTTCCCCCCCCTCCCTCTGTGCCTCAGTTTCCCCAACTCTGTGTCTCTCCCTGATGTTCTTAACGTAGTTATGGGCTCTGGAGGGGGTGGCCACTGCTCACAGGGTGCCCCGTGCTTCCCCCCCTCCCTCTGTGCCTCAGTTTCCCCAACTCTGCGTCTCTCCCTGATGCTCTTAACGTAGTTATGGGCTCTGGAGGGGGTGGTTGCTTCTCATGGGGTGCCCTGTGCTTCCCCTCTTCCCTCCGTGCCTCAGTTTCCCCAACTGCGTGGTCTCCATGATGCTCTTAACATAGTTATGGACCCTGGGGGGGTGGCTGCTTCTCATGGGGTGCCCTTTTCATCCCCCGCTCCTCTCCGTGCCTCAGTTTCCCCAACTTTATGGGTCTCTCAGATGCTCTTAACGTAGTTATGGGCTCTGGAGCGGGTGGTCACTGCTCATGGGGTCCCTTTTCTTCCCCCGCTCCTCTCTGTGCCTCAGTTTCCCCAATTGTGTGGTTCTTCTCGAAGCCTCTAAACGTGGTTATGGGCCCTGGGGGGTTTGGGGCAGCTGCCTCCCAGATGCTTTTAACATAGTTATGGGCCCTGGGGGGGTGGCTGCTGCTCACAGGGTGCCCTGTTCTTCTCCCGCTCCTCTCCGTGCCTCAGTTTCCCCAATTGTGTGGTTCTTCCCGATGCCTCTAAACGTGGTTATGGGCTCTGGGGGGTTTGGGGCAGCTGCTCACGGGGTGCCCTTGGGGTACCCTCTTCTTTCCCCCCCTCCCTCTGTGCCTCAGTTTCCCCAACTCTGTGTCTCTCCCTGATGCTCTTAACGTAGTTATGGGCTCTGGAGGGGGTGGTTGCTTCTCATGGGGTGCCCTGTGCTTCCCCTCTTCCCTCCGTGCCTCAGTTTCCCCAACTGCGTGGTCTCCATGATGCTCTTAACATAGTTATGGACCCTGGGGGGGTGGCTGCTTCTCATGGGGTGCCCTTTTCATCCCCCGCTCCTCTCCGTGCCTCAGTTTCCCCAACTGTGTGGTCTCCATGATGCCCTGAACATAGTTATGGGCCCTGGAGGGGATGGCTTCTTCTCACGTGGTGCCCTTTTCTTCCCCCTCCCTCTCTCTGTGCCTCAGTTTCCCAAACTCTGTGGCCCTCCCAGATGCTTTTAACATAGTTATGGGCCCTGGGGGGGTGGCTGCTGCTCACAGGGTGCCCTGTTCTTCTCCCGCTCCTCTCCGTGCCTCAGTTTCCCCAATTGTGTGGTTCTTCCCGATGCCTCTAAACGTGGTTATGGGCTCTGGGGGGTTTGGGGCAGCTGCTCACGGGGTGCCCTTTTCTTTCCCCCCTCCATCTGTGCCTTAGTTTCCCCAACTCTGTGGGTCTCCATGATGCCCTAAACATTGTTACGGGCCCTGGAGGGGATGGTTTCTTCTCACGGGGTACCCTCTTCTTTCCCCCCCTCCCTCTGTGCCTCAGTTTCCCCAACTCTGTGGCTCTCCCTGATGCTCTTAACGTAGTTATGGGCCCTGGAGGGGATGGTTTCTTCTCATGGAGTGCCCTTTTCTTCTCCCCATCTCTCCGTGCCTCAGTTTCCCCAATTGTATGGTTCTTCCCGATGCCTCTAAACGTGGTTATGGGCTCTGGGGGGTTTGGGGCAGCTGCTCACGGGGTGCCCTTTTCTTTCCCCCCTCCATCTGTGCCTTAGTTTCCCCAACTCTGTGGGTCTCCATGATGCCCTAAACATAGTTATGGGCCCTGGAGGGGATGGTTTCTTCTCACGGGGTGCCCTTTTCTTTCCCCCCTCCATCTGTGCCTTAGTTTCCCCAACTCTGTGGGTCTCCATGATGCCCTAAACATAGTTATGGGCCCTGGAGGGGATGGTTTCTTCTCACGGGGTGCCCTTTTCTTTCCCCCCTCCATCTGTGCCTTAGTTTCCCCAACTCTGTGGGTCTCCATGATGCCCTAAACATAGTTATGGGCCCTGGAGGGGATGGTTTCTTCTCACGGGGTGCCCTTTTCTTTCCCCCCTCCATCTGTGCCTTAGTTTCCCCAACTCTGTGGGTCTCCATGATGCCCTAAACATAGTTATGGGCCCTGGAGGGGATGGTTTCTTCTCACGGGGTGCCCTTTTCTTTCCCCCCTCCATCTGTGCCTTAGTTTCCCCAACTCTGTGGGTCTCCATGATGCCCTAAACATAGTTATGGGCCCTGGAGGGGATGGTTTCTTCTCATGGGGTACCTTCTTCTTTTCCCCCCTCCCTCTGTGCCTCAGTTTCCCCCAACTCTATGGCTCTCCCTGATGTTCTTAACATAGTTATGGGCTCTGGAGGGGATGGTTTCTTCTCATGGGATTCCCTGTTCTTCTCCCGCTCCTCTCCGTGCCTCAGTTTCCCCAATTGTGTGGTTCTTCCCGATGCCTCTAAACGTGGTTATGGGCTCTGGGGGGTTTGGGGCAGCTGCTCACGGGGTGCCCTTTTCTTTCCCCCCTCCATCTGTGCCTTAGTTTCCCCAACTCTGTGGGTCTCCATGATGCCCTAAACATAGTTATGGGCCCTGGAGGGGATGGTTTCTTCTCACGGGGTGCCCTTTTCTTCCCTCCCTCCCTCTGTGCCTCAGTTTCCCCAACTCTGTGGCTCTCCCTGATGCTCTTAACGTAGTTATGGGCCCTGGAGGGGATGGTTTCTTCTCATGGAGTGCCCTTTTCTTCTCCCCATCTCTCCGTGCCTCAGTTTCCCCAATTGTATGGTTCTTCCCGATGCCTCTAAACGTGGTTATGGGCCCTGGGGGGTTGGGGGCAGCTGCTCACGGGGTTCCTTGTTCTTCTCCACCTCCATCTGGCCAGAGGATGACGCGGTCCCCGCTGCTGCGCCGTCACGGGGTGCCCGAGTGCATCCTGCTGGTGACGCAGAGGATCACCAAGTACCCGGTGCTCATCGAGCGCATCCTGAAGAACTCCAAAGGTAC